GGAAATGAATACATTGCACCTAACATTTTACACAAGAATCAACAACATAATTTCTACAGTGGACGGTCTTTATGCTTTGCTTTTTTGTTTTACCTTCTGTGAAATTGCACACGACGTTTTTGCAGCTGTTGAAACCATCGGTCATGATCTTTGCTCTTCTTCTCAAAGATTCAAGAATCCCCTTGCTAGAGAAATGTGCAAAAAAAGAAATTAATGATTCAATCCGGAGATGTTGATCACGATTCACGAGTGTGTAAGCTTATACATATATATACCTTTCACGGGAGAATTGGTCATATGAAATGTCTCCAGGCTTTGGAGGACTAACCATCAAACCCATCTGCACAATTCACCACTCTCAGAAGTCAGAACATACATATGATTTCTACAAAATAAAATCCACATCATCACATTAGGACTTTCGAACTTACAAAGATCTGCGCAGAGACATTGGGGCTGAGTGCGATTGATGCAACCTTGTATATCTCTTCAACAACCTGCAATATCAGAAATCATATAATGATTATGCTTTGTTTGACACATAACATAAGTAACTAAACAAAGGCTAAAACGGCGAGTTAAAGACAAACCCTGGGAGGGATGTTAGTCATCTCAAAGTATCCACCTCGCTGTCCACATTCACCCCAATATCCTTTAGAGACAGTGTGGAAAGATACAAGCTGGACTTCCTTGCTTAACGGCAAACCCATATCCATCAAAACCTGTTTTTTAAGAACATTCATGTTAAATGAACGATCACATATCAGAGGCACGAGTTTCAGAAACATGAAAGCAAAACTAGAAGCTGACCTTCTTGGCGCTGATAAAGGGACGCTCATCTTGGTATATGTTCTGCTGATAAACCTCGTCTCCCAGAAGAACCAATTTCTCGTTGTAACAGAACCGCAATATCTCTCTTAAGTTAGCTTCGCTTAGACACTGACCAGTTGGGTTCCCGGGGTTGATGATAACCATTGCCCTTACCTGTATACCCATTCAAGACAAATCAGTAACTGGAGGAATAAAGACATAAGCTTCTACGCTAACTGCATCTCTATTTGCAAGAGAAGAAGGAAAAAGAGTGCTCACTGATATCCCTTGAGAACGAGCCTGAGCAACGGATTGTCGAAGGTTATTAACATCAAGTCCCCAGTTTTCAGACTCATCAAGATAGTAAGGAACAAGAGAACCGCCAAGTAGTGATATGGTAGCTGAGTAGAGTGGATACTGTGGAACCGGAACAAGAATCTACAGAACGGAAAAAAAAAACTTATAAATGAAATGTAAGGGGTAAATCATAGCAGATACTAAGACCTCTTGGGACAGAGCATTACCCCGTCTCCCTCACCGCGAATAACACAGTTCAAGATTTGCATCACACCTTTGCTGGCTCCATCAGTGAGAAATATGAGTTCTGGGTCACTGTGATATGAAAATAAGAAGCAGAAGGCCTGAGCTGGCTTTGCTTTAACAACAAATCTATCTCACAGGGGAAACACAGAAATGAAAGCAATCACCTTGGATACCCATCACGCCGTTCTATGAATTCCGCAACCTCTTTCCTAACTCCCGGAATGCCTCTTGAGTCACTGTAAGCACCTAATAAAACAGAAAAAAGATAAAAACTTTATGATCTATAAGTAACAGATAACCGGCTAATTAATGAGTTTGCTTCACAAAAGATATACCTAATCCGCCTGAAGTCAAGGAAAGATAATGTTTAGCTCTTGCAATAGCATCAGCTGGGAATAGCATTCCAACATTTGGGTCATCGAGTAGAAACGGAGCTTGACACAGAGCAACTACCTGCAATGTTTCTTTGTTACTATCTAGGCTCAACGTATAATGAAGTCTGATTAACTGAGAATTGTATACATACCTGACGAGGAAATGTCAGCGGCTTCTGTCCTAAAGCATGAGGGTTCCCGACGTTTGTGAAAATGATCTGTTATATAATATTCAACACAAACACCAAACGATGCCAATAACTATGCTAGATCATAATTGCAAATGCATATCAAGTCCAAATCAAAACAAAGAATCACAGGTCTGTTTAAAGCTAACATAGTTAAGTTCTCAACTTTTTCCTGAGGTTTTTTAGTAGAAGTTAGATTTAAAGGACACATGATAAACGCTCAAGATGTATAGAGTCACAAAATGAGCCAAAAGTGTTTACCTTTTTGCCTTCTTTCTGAAGCTCAGAAGCTCGGAGATAGAGTTCACCTCTTACGGCATACTGACACTTCTTCACGTTTTCGTTCAGAGCATCGTAGTCTAAAGCCATTTATCTTCACACTTAAAGCAAATCGCTAGCTCAATTCAACCTTATCGAAACAAAAGAGTTCTGTGTGAGAATCCATGAAGTCACATCACCAATTCGAACCAGAATATAAATCCATATCAAATCTAATTTAGATTATAAAAAACCCTAATTTATGGATTCCAATACCCGAAACACAAAAATTCCCAGGTCAATTACCAGAACAAATTCGTAATCGTTAAAGAATAGCAGAGAAAGGCGATGCCTTTTCAATTGGGTTTTCGATATCATTACAAAAAATGGGAAATTGATCAAAGGGGATTTCATGATCAATCCAAAAGAAGAAAAGAAACAAAAAAACAAATACCACACACACCTTCGAATTCAATGCTGTGAACTCTAAAGGCTCTCCAGGGAGTCACGTTTGAGAGCCAAAGCAAGAAAGAGTGAGGAGAGCTATTAAACTCTAAAGAGAGTGACTTTAAAAAAATATATTGTTTAGTAGATTACAATTGTGTGTCTGACATGAATTTGGATCACTCGTCAATCCAATCATGTGGCATCTTAACGAAGGAAGCAGCAGAGCCACTGAAAATCGACGAAGAAGATTTATCAGACAAAAGTCAATTGCCAATATCTATCCGTGTCTCATTTTTATGCTACGACGACGGTTCTTTGGAAAAAAATATAATAGAAACAGATAAATTGGAAGAGAATAAATGTGGTGGAGATTCCAGATGGAAAAGATTGTAAATTTTGTGAATTGTTCTTCAGAGAAATTATACTTTTGGGTCATGGCCTATGGGGTAGAGCCACGTCTCCTTCGTTTTTGTTTCATCCAGGTTTGTGTTTTCCCAGTGTCTTGACTCCTCAATACTCTCAAAGGCTTTAACTGTCCTCAAGACTCAAGAGTTTATTGGTCTTTCAATTTTGAGAATTATTGCTTTGCATGAGGCTTTAGAGCAACATTAGTCTAGTATCTTAATTTTAGTCTCTCAAAATGAATATATGTGAACACTAATTATATTCATAATTAGTCCAAAGGTATCTCACTTGAGAAACTTATGCAAAAGTTTACCATTCACTTCAATTGATTTTAAGAAACCCAAATTCAAAATAATTCCACTGTTCTTAATTGGTAACGGCGTACAAAGTGTCTTGCCTCTTGTGTAACTAGCGCGATGACAAAAAAAAAATGGTACATTATAATCATTTATCGACATTTGTCGAAGATGACATAATATGTATTTGTGTCCTTCCATATGTTTCAGTTCTCATTTTTCTAACTATGTCACTTATGATTTTACTTAGTAAATTTATTCTACTTTTCGGCCTAAAAATAATTAAAATTAAATAAAGATAGAACATGTAAATTTATGTAGAAACATTGATCATAATGAATATGCAGACCATGCAATCGATCTTTTTTGGTATATAATTCTGAGAACAACAAAATTATTTATAAAAATGTTTAAATAATTAAGCATTTCATATATAAAAAAGACATTTTTGTTTGTTATCTAGGTAATGATAAGAACCAGCTTAAATTTTAAGAAGCAACTAGATTCTAACCCCGTGCATCGCACGGGAATATTTTTTATTGTTTAACGAATTTTGTAATATAATTTGTGTTTTTGAGTTTAGATATAATTATTTTTATAAATATATTTTTTTAATAAGTGAAAATATTGATTTTTATGTTTAGATATATTTTTATAGTATTAAAATTAATTATGATTATAAAAATATAATTTTAACCCGTTCGCTAATATTAATTCAAAATGAACTATTGTAAAAACATAATTCTAAATTTTCCGTTCATATTACCGTATAATATAAATATTTGTTAAAAGTTTGAGATGTATTAACAGTATTATTTAGCATTATAGTTTTCTAAAATTTAATCAACGAAGGGAGTGTACAACTGGTTTTTCAAACCACATTATAGAGTGTATGTAATAATTTTTAATTTTTCTGTTTTTATTTTGTATGAAAAATATATTTTTGATATACATGTATAATTCAAAATTAGTGATTTTAGTTACCAAAATATTTTTAACCCGATTTTTATATATATATTTTTAGTTCTATGAATTTTAAAAAATATTTTTTTAATATTTAAATTATACATTTGAATTTTACCTATTCTTTTATTATTAATTTGTAAATAAATCATAATCGTAAATATATAAAAGCAACATAAATATAATATCATTTATATCATTGTAAATATTTTATATTTCAAATATGACCATTATTTTTCATATGTGAATTATTTTTTTCAAAAATTCTAGATATTTTTTTTTCAAAAATTCTAGATAAAAATGTTTAATAGTATAAAAATTATTTAAATTAGAATCTTTAAATCAAATCTAAATTAATATCTGATTTATTATTTTTAATCAAATCAAATCAAATCTAAATTACATATATTTAAGGAACTCTAAAAATATTTAAATTAATAACTAATTTTCGAAATTAAATATAAATAATTATTAAAATTATTTTTAAACACTTAAAAAAAATTAGGAGTGTTTGGAAGCAAGTATTAAAGGTGCTTCTGTTTTAATATAATAGATTAATAACTAATTTTCGAAATTAAATATAAATAATTATTAAAATTATTTTTAAATACTTAAAAAAAGTTAGGAATGTTTGGAAGCAAATACTAAATGTGTTTTTGTTTTAATACAATAAAAGGATACATCACTTATATAATATAGTGCGCGCATAATATTACTTAAGGGTCAATGCATTTGAGATCCTCGATGGTGGCAAGTCTGTGGAGAAAGACGTCAAAGTCATCGTCACGACCAAGCATGCTGACTCGTACGTGCTTCTTATCACTTCCACATCGGTCTCCTCCTCTCGTCAAAACCTTCTTCTCCTTCAAGAAACATCCGAGATCTCTCTCTTCTTTACACCCCAACCATGCAAACCCTGCAACAACCATTTCAAAAAACGCAACCGTTGATAACTTGATATAATAACGACCAAGACCGTTACCAATTCAACACAAACAAAAAATGATTTGTTCTCGTTTTAAGTACCAGGAGAAGGGGAGATGGTTTTGCCAAAGAAGTTGCAAAACGCTTGAGGGTAATTAGGTAGAGTGAATATGTCACCAGACTCGACGACTTCGCGTAGCCTCTCCCACCGTAACTTCATCTTCTCGGAACCGTATTCGAAGAAGCTCTCCGATTTGGTCCGACAGGTTTTGGTGATTTCGTTGAGGATCGTGGTGGCTCGTGTCTGTGATTCCTTCGACACACCAATGGAGTTGATTGTTAGGTACTGCACCATCTTTTTAGCCACCTCTATGTCCTTCACTAATGCCCACCTTCACCCCAAAATATTAAACAATTGGTCAACAATTATGCATAGAATTTTAGGAAAATTAAAAAAAAACAATGATGCATATAACGAGTTCTCTTTCATTTGAGAACCAAAACGGCATTGCTTAGCTAGGTTTTGTAAGCATGCCCATTTTAGGTATAAGACATTAGCGGCTATTGGTCAGGTACGATAGTTTGGATATCTAAAATTGTTATCTGAAGTATATCCATAAAATCACTTCAAAAATGTCACTAGATCAATAAGTATATATATACCTCAATTCTTTGTTCGGATTCAAGTATTTCAAACAACTTTAAATATTTTTGAATCTTTAAAAGTTTTAACCATATATCCAGTCAAAGAATTGAGGTATACATACATGTGTTGGAATATATTACAATGATCTAAATTGGTAATAGTTACGAACTTATATCTAAGTGGTTTAGTTTGACTCACCCGATGCGAGAGCCAGCGTGACCAGTGATCTTGGAGAAAGTGAAGAGCATAAGATCCTGGTCTTGACAGCGAGTGATGGGAGTGTAATGTGGCCAGTAATACGCGAAGTCGTGTATCACTTTCCCGCCCTCCGAACCGTTCACCACCGGCTCTCTGATGGTCCCATCAGGGTTGTTCGGTGACGTCACCATCTCGATATACGGTCCGTTCTTGTCGAATGTCCTTGCGTCTCCTTCCCATTTGTACAGCTTCGATTGGACATACGATGCCTCTTCAACGTATGTCTGTAACAAAACATAAAACAGAAAAATGTTTGAACGTTACATTTTAAAGGAAGAATGTTTGGGGTATAACAATATGAAAAATAAAAAGGTCCATTTGAAACCTAATTTTTCTCTCTTTTTTTTTGACGAGATACCTAAAATGTCTTAAAGAATTTGTTAACTTAAATTACAATAAAAAAACAATATATTGATAAAATTATCAAAAGGGAGATACATATGATACGTGGAGAAGAGTTTCATCAGGGCTTACGGAGTAATAAGGAGCCGCAGCGACTACGCTCACAGGTTTGACCTCGGAGAGTGACGAAAGTGCAAACAAGGCGGCCTGACAAAGCTGCGACGAGCCAGTCCCCACCACGATGTAACGTTCCTCAGTCGCTGCGTTACCGATCGCATTGTGCAACGCCTTGATCGCCTTCGCAAGCTCTGGCTCTAGGAACCAACACACGTTCGTCGTATCGCTAAAGTAGCTCATCAGTTCCCATCCTTGTATCACCACCGTACACGTGTCCTTCATCTTCATCCAATACTCTTGGAATACCGTCGGATCTCCTCTGCGAAATATTAATTAACACAAGCAAATTTACCTTTCTTTTTTATTCATCATGCATGTTTTATTTCAAATATGTATCACAAAATTTACTTGGTTAAACACAAAAACAATCTAAAGAAGAGAAAAAGGTATATTTGAAATAATCGAGACTTTAGTTGCGGTTGTGTATTGCAAATGTGTTCTCTGGTAAAATCAATATTGATGACTGTCAGATGGTTGAGATTTCAAACTTGTTATCTAATCCATAAGACAATTTACCGAAAAGTAATTAGCCAATTATTTTTAACCTTTTTAAATAAGGAATCATGAATGTATATTTGTTGTATAAGATTAAACCGAACTTAGCCAAGTTTATATATTTTATCGTGATGATTGTGCAATTAATAAAGGGGATTTTTTGGTAAAGTTAACACATACTGATCGAGATTGATGACTGCATCTGATAAGCACTCGATCTTTTTCGAATCACTGTCCGACTTCTTCGAGTTTTCAAACCCAGCCATTTTCTTCGTGACCTTGCTCTCTCTGTTGACTCTTGCTGCTAATGTAACAATGTCTGTGAAATTTTAATGATTAAATTGTATGAACTCTATGGTGCTGTTTAAGGAGATGGAGAACAAGGGCGCTTTTAAAAAAGAGATGGAGTTTTTTTTTTTTTTTGGGTCTAAATTAACTCTAAAAGGTAAAAGATATTTTGCTGTATCTGTCAAATTTTTTGGTCAATATTTACTTATTCAACATTTTTGGGTCAATATGTATCTCACAATTATGTTTATCTTCTTGTAATTACGCCATTTGTCTTAGCGAATCTATAATGCTTGTGTAGAAAAACCAATTTAGGCAGGGTAAAATGTGGTCAAGAGATGATTATATAAATACTTGCTTTTATTCAATTACTATTTTCGGTTATTTGTATTTTAATGTCTATAATTTATACATGTCACGTAAAAGATAAGAACACAAGATTTACTCCACCTTTATGTTCCCACGTGTGTTGTGTTGTGTTGTGTTGTGTCATTTTCGACTTGCAGTTTCTCTTTTGTTTGCTCTTATATTGTGAATTTGGAATAAATAGTTAAGATATTTACGTGATGTATTTATGATTTTAAGTTACAAAATCTGGAATAATTTGTGATGTATTTAAAAAAAAGATATGTAAATTACTCTTGCAAGATAATTTTTTTGAGAATACATCCGTAAATAGGATCTGCAGGATTTTCTAAAATTTGGAAGCTATGACATAAATTTAGGGCTTCGAATTTAGTGTTGTCAGTAACCCTAAATCTTATGGTTACTTATATATGATTTTTTCGATTTGAATAAGCGCATGGTTGGCCCACCTTCATATATCCGAGTCCTCAATTTCTTACATATGTTTCTCTATACTTTGTGAGGCGCAAGAAATAAATAAATAAAAAAAGCCCTAGTTTTGCAAAGTGAAGCAATGACAATAATTTCCGATCTTCCAGAGCATTTGGTAGAGGAGATTGTCTCTAGGGTTCCCTTGAAATTGATGAGAACAGTACGATTAACTTGCAAAAAGTGGGAAACTTTATACAAAAGTCAGAGTTTTTCAAAGTTGCAATTTGGTAAAACAACCGCTTCAAAGGAAGGTGAGTCTATGATGGTCGCAGTAATGGATTTCAGTCTTTATTTAATGAGCCTCGTCTTCGCAGTCGATGGAGAACCATCTATACAGACCAAAGGTACACTTACTTGTGATAACGAACAAGTCAAAATATCTCAAGTTTTTCATTGCGACGGTTTATTGTCGTGCATCTTGAAAGCAGACCGCACTAAGGTTATGGTTTGGAATCCGTATTGGGGGGAAACAAGGTGTATCGAATTCAGATATACTCATCTCACATGTGAATGGGACTGGTGTAGTTACGCTCTCGGATACGAGGACAAAAATTCTTGTCGTAGCTACAAATTATTGAGGTACATAGATCACGGTAACCATGTACCCAAACAACAAGAGTTGTTTTTGTATGAAATATACGATTTCGACAGTGGTTTATGGAAGACTCTTAATGTCACTCCAAACTGGCGTATAGCATATTATCAGCGTGGCGTGTCTCTCAAGGGAGACACTTACTGGTATGCTTCAGAAAGGAACTCAGATGACGATCTTGACAGTCACATAATCTGTTTTGATTTTACAAATGAGACGTTTGGGCCGCTTCTGCGTCTGCCGTTTAACGTTGGGAATGATGACTATGTGACTTTATCATGTGTTAGTAGAGAAGAGAAGCTTGCGGTTTTACTTGGGCACATCCACATACGTCCAGAGGAGTTTGAGATATGGATTAGCACTAAGATTGAGGCCGAAAAGGTTTCGTGGAGCAAGTTCTTGACAAGGGATACGAGACCTTACTTTATAGCTGACACTATCTTCACTGACGAGGAGAAGAAAGTCGTCATCAGTTTTAAACAAGATTACTGTCGCAAAACATTTAGCATCATTGAAGAGGCTGAGTACTGTAAAGAGTTGTATGTCAGAGAACTTGCAGACCTAAGATGCAGGCCAAATGCCTGCTCTTATGTTCCAAGCTTAGTGCAAATCAAGCAACCTGCTGGAGGAGGGAAAAAGGAAACACAATAAAGCGACTTAGAAAAGCATCGATATGATGAAACACATGTCGAGACTTGTCGCACTTGAAATTTGAAAAGCGCTTTAAGTGGTAGTAATCTGCATGAGGAAGGCATGATTAGTCTCAGTTTTCAAAACCTAATTTTTATACTCTCCTCACTTTGAACAACATTACTTCGTTTCTCTTCTAAGGCAGCGAGTTTTTGTTTTAAGTGTCGTCGTTTTCCTTTTAAAAACAAAACAGAAATAACAATGAAATCTATTTCTTTGGTGGATATAGTGAAGATCATGATTCAAGATATGATGAAACAAGCTTCCTTCGTTAGGCTTCTTAAAAACGAAACAGAGCTTCTATTTTTTTTAAGATCTAAGCCCATTTACATCAATCTTGAGGTTTAGGATTCTGTTGTAAAAAGGGAAGCTATACACATTAGTTGATCACATTTTGGCCCTCTCCTCTTCATTGCTGATGAACTTCATTCGGCAATGTCTGAGGGCTTTGCCTGAATACATGTTTCCTGCACCGCTCAAAGATACTGTCGTAGATCAAATCAAACTCCATTCCTGCTCGCTCTCTGTTCACAACGAACAGGATATGATCCGCCTCCACGATCTTGTAGTACCTGATACATTCAAGAAAAAGCTCTTTATCTTCCTTCAACAGACTTACCATCCAACCAAAACTGTAACGGTTATAATTGAGAAGAAGACTAACCAAATGCCCGGTTTGAGCGGGAGACAATCTGAGTCACTACGAACAATGAGATTAGAATGCTCAACAGGAATTCGTGGGTGAGTCATGGATATAGTGTTCAGTGCTCCATCATTGTCCTGCCAATCTTCATCTCTGCAAAATACTCTCATTTTAAAACACAGAGATCTCTATATCTATATAACGTAGCTTTTAAGTGGTTTATACAAAAAATTAAATTTGTACCTGTAACCCTTATAAGGCAGAGGGATGTCACGAGGAAAACGCCACTGACTCATCTGCAGCACGCGTATGAAAAGCAGAGGATGAACTCCCATCAAACTTGAAGGAACGGTCATCATCCCAAGAGGTTTTCTAGTACGCTTAGTCGCGTAGCTGAAGTAGAACGTGTTTGGGAAAGTCTGGAGACAAGCATTGAGCTTCATCGATCCTTGGATTGATAGGTCAGGGAGGACCCAATCTCCAGATGATGCAAAAGGACCTGCGTTTCCAAGAAGGCAATCGACAAGGCCACGTAAACCTGTCTTCCTCCACGACATGTTGAAGTGGTCAAACCCGAAGTTGTAATAGGATTTAAGCCAAGAAATGTCGAGCCAGTCATACATTATGACTCCAAGTTTACAAATCTGAAGTAGAGATATTGGTTTCAGTGACTTTCCATCCTCTGGCCTGAAAAAAAAAATACATTTTGGATTATAATCTCGACGAACTCGTAGCTTAAGAGGTCACAAGAAAGAAGAAGAAACTCACTGTATTCCATCAAGGTAGGCTCGAGTAGTCCCGTTTAACGCTCCTGACAGCGATGTTAAACTCAACACCCAGTTCTCGTTCGTGTTCTCATAACCTGTAAACATCTGAACAACAATACAACACGAGCAAAAAGAGTTCAAAAACATATACCAAATCCTGCTCAACTAATCGATAGGATTTGTTTTTTTTTAACGCAATTTACCTTGTCAGCGAGCATTTGCTGCAACACACGAACAACTTGAGCACCAGCAGAGTGACCAACAAAGTGAATGGGATGATCTTCGTCCCATTCTGGGTATTCCCCTAAAGTGGTTAACCAACGATTCATCAGCACAAATAGTGAATCTAAAGGCTACTTAAAAAAAAAAATGAAAACACATAACAAGACTACACCTTTTTCATATAGACGACCAAACTGAGAGTGCCCACAAGCTTTACTGTGATCTTCTCCATAATCAACTCTTCCACCTTTCAGGTAATAAAACAGCTCTCTTGCCCTACAAACACATTCTTTATCAGTAACTCACACTGAGAATTTACATCATAAACAGAAATCCACCAAAAGATTAGAACTTTCTCTATTACCTATCGTGTACACTCGTCAAAGATCCCAAATCAGGCACAAACACTCTCTCATCTTTCTTCTCCGCCCCAGCAAAGTATGATAAACTACCTAATTTCTGCAATGACAAAATCCAATTAATGAAAAAACCCCTCTTTTAACAATGTGCGACAGAAAAGGAATGTTTTTACTTACTCCTTTGCCAAATCCGAAGATTCCATGGACTAAAACAATGGGAGGCAAATCACTGACGTCTGCTGTCTTTGCATGGTCAATTTGTTTGACTTCAATGGAGGTTTTGGGCTTAAAGATTGATTCGCTCAACGCCTGAGTGAGATCTCCGGCGACGGCGGAGCTGAATAGGTAAAGCCCATAGAGCATATGAGCAACGGAGCTAACAGATAACTCTGCTAACTGAAGAGCTGATATAATCAACAATGGAATCATCCTCCTTAAAAAAAACTCGATCTTTCTTCTCTCTTACAATACCCAGAAGAAAATGAAATCCAGGAAAAAAACCAGACTTCTTTAAAAATCTGTTCTTTTACTAAAATCAGAAACAACGGAGACAGATTCCGATTCTGGGTTTACGAATTACTCAGAAGAATTTTCTTCTCTCTTTCAAGTAGTATGAAAGAGAAAAGAAAAGAAATGAGTCAACAGAAGACGTTTTCTGTCGACAATGGAGAAAAAAAAAACGATTTCTTTCTACTTGTCGCAGTTTGCTTCTAGAAATATTGTGAAAGAAAATGGATTTTCCCTCACCACACAACTTTCTTATTTCTCAAGCTGTCACGCATGAACGAGCTCTGCGTTTTCTCTCTATGCCTAACGGCCAATGAAAGACTCACACTTCTTCACTTCTTTTTTTTCCTTTTTGTTTTTGCTCGAAAAAAAATAGATCTTTGTAGTCAAAAATATTACCCTCTTTCGAGAGGACGCGTCTAGATTCTAGAAGAAATGAAAAGCTCGAAAGAAGAAGAAATGTGTGTTTCGCGATTGATGCCTTCTTCTGTGTGGACGCCACGTGTTTAGTTTGGAAATAAAGTGGGTCCTACTGAGATATTGGTTCAAAAGAAATCTGAACAATACTGTTATAAACATTTTTTAAAATGAAATAAAATGACGTTATATGGTTGGTATAATAGGAGATGATCAGATGAACTGTCCGGAGAATCCTTCAATGTTTCGCGAAAGTTCGCATAAGTTTGCGTGGTCCACATTCAATTGTTATCAAGTCGTACACACGTCCACGTTTGTATTTTGTTGGGGAAAAAAGTTTAATAAATTTGGGAGGAAAAAATGAAAATATTAGCATAATAGGCCCTTGATTCCACAGATTAACTACAAAAATCTTAACGTCAAATTGAATTTTTCTATAAATACCGTTTTGATTTAGAATTTATCGTCAAAGGAATATACATGTCGGCAAAACAGATTTCTTGTGTTATATGGATTATTTGGTTATCGTTTATTTGAATTGCTAAAAACAAACATGTTTCCTTTAATTATTTTCAAATCTCTATTCAAATAGTCAACTTCAGTTCTTGATAAATCGTTGTGAGTAGTATAAAGTCTACCAGTTCAAGTTCTTTTATAGAGTTTGCAGCCTCCTGTGCACTATGAACCTTGATGTTGGTATTTTGCCCAAGAACTTAGATTGAAACCGAAAAGAATCACAATATTATGAAAGATACAGGAGTAGTCGGCGATGCATGTTCATTAGACCGTCCATTGCATCTATGATGAACCAAAAATAAAAAAAAACAAGATGTTAAAAGAAGATTCTGATAAAGAAATATTGACACAATGTTGGTGAAGAAACCAATAAGTCCAGCGTGATTGTTGGGTTCAGAAAAACAGACGTAAGAAAAAATCTATATATAAACCATGCATACCGATGTAACATTTCATATTCATCATTTACACATTTGACAATCAATCGGTACATTTCTTTTCTAACAAAACAACAAAAAAAATCTCCGGATCTTTGTCCTGAGCCCTCAATCCCAAAAAATCTCATCTATATATGCCAAACACTATTGATACTTTTGTTTCTTTAAGGACATTTCAAGTTTTTACCCGGTCCTCCGTAATAAAAATAATTACCCCAAACCCGGTTTACTCCTCCTCTTATGTCATAACAATTTGGATGATCCGCAAGAACTCTAAGATTAGATATCGGAATAAGAGTGTTGTCCCAATCTACCATTTGAAGATTTCTAAAGTAAGATGCTTTTCCAAAACCTTCACCGGCAAAATGACCACTTCCCATTTGGGTCGAAGTATGTGAACCACCTGGTCGTGTGTTCACGATCTCGCCACCAAACTGGACCATGTTCCCATGCTCCCTCAGGTGTGTGAACAAAGATACGGGCCAATATCCAACTAGTGTACCCGATCCAAATTGGAGCCACCAGTGTCCGTGCTTGGGGTCCTATACATGAGTTTTTTTAGAGGAACTTGCGTTATTGAAATAACTCTAAATCATCAAAGATGAAATACATATATACACATGAAAAAAGTCGTGTGAGCTGTGTTGACCTTACTTGATGGATAAACCATGTGCATAGTTTTAATCAAGAATGGTAGTATAATCAAAGGGAGACACTAAATTAATGCCAAAATAAATTGGGTTTAATTTATTAGGAGACAGTTCAATTAAATTAGTATAACGTGCAATAATCATAGGCTAGGCACTTGAGTGCTCAAAACTTAAATATAAAGTATGCCCCCACAAAATGGGTTTAGAATCTAGATAAAGGGAGAGAATAAAGTGATTATAATAAAAAGAAATCTCAATTTTACCAACATACTATTATAGTGATGATAATTACCTTCCAAATCAATAAGCTTATATCGAATTGTCCGCCTTTATATGATGAAACGGGAGAAATCGCAGCTCCAATCGCAATACGATTGTTTGTTTGAACAAAACCAGAACACAATAGGTTATAGCATCCTGTTGCCTGATACGCATCCGACTGCAGAAATATAAAAGGTTACGTACGTATATTATCCTTCTTTATGCCCCAACAAAAAAATGTTTTTAACTAAAAGGTTTTTTTTAAAAACTTGAAGTTGTATGAAAGTATATATATATATATATATACATACCGTCCAATAAGTGAAGAATCTTGGGTTAGTGTCTCCGTACAGCTCCGGGCTAACCTGCCCGACATAATTAAAATGCTAAGAATTTAGAGCCTTTTTTAGAGCTTTTATTTAAGTAAATGAGAGGATAATACAAAACTGATTAAAATACTATTTGTAGAAAAATAAAGTCAAAAGGGGGTGATGGATGGCACGTGCCTGCCAACCAGCTTCGATGGTATTAAGGTCGTCGGCGAAAGAACCGGCGATGACCCAAATCTGAGACAGACTAAACTCGTATTGGCTACTGACACGTGGCGTCCACACGTTTATACTTGCTTTTGCTCCGTAATATTGACTTCCCGATACGTATCCCACCGCATGCTATATTTTTATTTTTCATACTTTTGTTAAAAGATCACTATAATTTGTAATTAGAGAAAAAGATTTAAAAAAATATGAAACCAGAGTGAAATTTTGTTTCTTTTTTGTTTTTTTTCGATTCGAGCAAAGAAAAATAATCTCTGACTAGTAAATTCTGTTAATTGCATTGCAAAGATTTCCGAGAAAGGTGGTTTTTGGTATTATTATGTATCTATCTCTTTTTTAAAGTTAAATTAAGAAAAAGTATATAAAGCTCTGACTTTTTTGATAAAAAAAATAATCTAATGAATGATACGTACCTCGTGGCCGTTACTGCTCGAATCCCTTCTCACGCGCCTGATTTTCCGACCATATCTACGGACGGAACTTGCTCTTAACATGTCTTGCTCCGTCGTTCTTCTGATCGGAATCGTACCTTCCGGGCAAGACTCACCAGTTAGGCTCCAAAGCTGAAAATCTTCATGGGATTCATTTACTTGGCTATACCCTTTAGGCATCTCCGGTGGATCCTAAACATGTTTTCAGAAAATTTAGAGACTTTGAGATTGAAAAGATTAAGTAGTGTAAGAAAATGTGTGTACCATTGGTCTCTGTCCATGTAACAAGGGATGATCAAAAGCAGGCTGGTGATGAGATGGAACACAATCTATTGTATCTCCATCTGAGCTCTGAAATCATCACAAGAACATTAACTTAATTAGTCAGAACCTTGTTTGTAAATTCATCATATATTTTGAAAATTTTCTTAAAAATTGCGTAAGGACTCTCTACTAACGTAAGCAAGATACTGAACATAATACAGAATAAATAAACAAAGCTTTTTTAACCAAAAAAAAAGAAAGAAACAAAGTTAGGATTTTGCCTGAATGGTCTTCACGGCGGGTTTGTTGATCTTTTGGAGATGTTTTCTGATGAGTTTCAGCTTCTGAGTCTCTTTTTGAGGCCGGAGAGTCTCAAATCTTCCGGCTGTAGAATTTTGAAGAGAAGCAGAGGAGAAGGAAGAAGAGAGGAGACAGAGTAAGAGGATGAAAGTGAAGATCAAGCGAGAAGACATTGTTATGGCTGAGAAATCTCCTCTATTTCACCGTATTGACTTTTTTGAAGAGTATGAAAAACACTTTTTGTGTGTGTGTGTTGTGTGATGAAGAGGAAGGCAAAACATTTATTGCAAGCTTATTGTTGTTGTTCGTCTTCTTCATGTCACTGACACATCTTCCAACAAACCCATTAAAGACATAATGACTTCTCTAAGGAAAACCCAGAGCCCCCAAAATCCAAGACATTAATGAATCAATTCACTCCCCAAAAATACATGAATCAGAGTATATACGAAGCGTAAATTAATAAAGATGGTGTGTTGATAAAGTTTTGGGGGCATGTGGGTTTACACATAACGTGGTATAAATACTGAGTAGTGATGAAATCATGGAATTGTGTTTATGTATTTTTTTATTAGGGTTTTGGGAGGAGTATTTATTAAAAGGATTAAATGTTATAACAAAAAAACATGAGAGAAGATTTGATGCAGCTTTATCGTTATGTGAAAGCGGTATTTTTAGTAAGGCGAAGAAAGATGAATAAAATTGGATTTGGTTTAAATTTGTTTAGATTAAATAAAAATTGAAAACTTTAAATCTTGAGTTTCTCAAAGATCTTGCTTTCTTAATTGTTATTAACATAATCCCTGTACATGCCTCCTTTTACCGTATCTTTGAATAGCCAGCTAAATTTAGCATTATTTATTACAATTTTTTTTCCATCGTGTCTAAGAAAACTAAGTTTCCTTTGATCTACATTTCGTCAAATTAATTAAGTTTGGTACGTATGTGTTGTTCGAATCCTCTTGAATATACCAAAAGGTACATTGTCCTTTTTCCCAATTACTTAACCATTTAGGAGAATATATATAATTATTAAATCTCAAGCAATTTGGCATAATGATTTGCAAAGCACAAATTTTCATGTGACTACAAACCTACGAGAGGATACATGCATGAAGTACTTATAGGGTCCAACATCCAAACTCAATAATATATAAACCCAATTTTTAAAAAAAATTATGATTAAATTTTGTTATAATGTTTAAAATTAAGGTCAATGTGAGTTTATTTCAGTAACAAAAAGATAGACAGATAAGTTTGGTTAGTATAAAATACCTACTTGAGAACCACAGCTCGATATAAAACGTAAAATACAAAAACAAAAACAGAGCTCGATATATCTATAGAACTATTTTGGGCCCGAGTCGTCCTCTATTGAAGTTGATCAAATCTTCCTCTTGATATGGCCGTGATATGTAATCCAAAAAAGCTATTTCCATGAGACAAATAAATAAATTGAGAGGTTTGATTATTTATGTTTGTAAAAACTGTGGAGCAATTATTACTACGTACATAAAATGACCTTAACTATTAAATTAGAGAACTAATCAGTAATAATCTTATTTAATTTGTTTTAGAAGCATCGTCTATAATAAAGCAAATACAAAGTGTGGAATGGAACTCGAGAGTGTATTTGTTATAATGATATTGTCCAGTCTTTAAATCTAGGGAATGATTGAGAGAGCCAAAAGCATGCAAACATGTAATGTTGCCTTTGCGTTGCAATTAAATATTTAACTTAAGATTTAAGAAAAAACATGATTGGCTGCGTTAAATGTGAATGCAATATTGCAATGCAACAGCTTCGACTAATCTCACTTTCATTCATATACACATCCTACCAATTTTTTTCTTTTAAACCAGTTTCATATATTCTTATGTTTTAAAAAAATTAAGATGACAATAGTTTTTTGCTGGAATAATTATTCCTATCGTAAAAATAATTTAAGTGCATCCTTATAGTGAATTTCTAAGACATGAGAAGAAATTAAGTCGGTGCACGATCCGGTCTTACGATTATGTTTGACTTAGAATCGCCTTCAAGAGATTCGAATCCGAACTTGATTTAAACTTTATGGAGCAGACAATAGAAACTCCACTATAGATCAAAATTTATATTAGGAAGAAGCTCATATCACTCTGAAGTCTCAACCCCCAAAAAGCGTGCAATTAACTGTTACGTTAGAGTAACATTTTTAATCCGTAACTAATTGATAGGGAAAGGTTCAAAAAAAAAAATCAATTGACAGGGAGAGAGAAGAAAAACAAAAGGCGAAGAGAATTAAAGATGAAGATTAAAGCTAACAAAAGGAGAATGAGAACAGTTTGATGTAAAAGCAATGATAGTGTCTCTAAAGCATCCTTGAGCTCAGCTTTTTCTCATTTTATCTCGAGTCTCGACCCATACCAGTTGGAATTTTAGTTAATTGATAATCAATAATTAAAGACTATTATGTAAACTCATTGAAACAAAGTACAATTCGGCGTTGGGGTTATTAACTATGATATGATGAGTCATTATTTACAAAGTGGCGTGAAAGGATAGACGTTAATGTTCGGACCATGCATGCACTATGTTAAGGGTACATCATCATGGATTCTCATCGTGAGTTGTCCAATATTTGATGTAAACATGAAATTATTATAGGCTGCCACCACAAATCAACCACATTAAGATGACATGGTATTGTTAATCTTCTCTAATTTCCACTATATTTGAAGTCCCGGAAAGAGTAAGACTCATATCATAAGTAGTCAATTCCAAATTCATCAACTTGATAAAAGTAAGCGTTAATTAGATTTGATATATTGCATTTTAATTATGATTAACTATTGTGTACGTTGTAACCGGAAAGAAGATGCGGTTCTTACATGTCCATAGATTTAGTACGGGTTTTGATCTCGGATATCCTTAGGTTATTAATCATAAAAAAACTTTTCTAAGAAATGATGAGAACATCACCTCGGATTTAGAGGGAAAACGAGCTTAAAATGCATACACTCTCAAAACAAGTAGGTTAAAGTAGGTCGAGATAGTGTTCCAAAATTACAAGATTAAGAACAAGGAGCTTAAAGTCCAATCTAACAAGTAGGTCGAGATAGTGTTCCAAAATGCCAATAAAGAGAAGGACGCGAGCATGTCAAGTTTCCTTATTTGGAAAAACGGTGACCAAAACACCAAGCAATGGTCAAGATGGACCATTCAACCACTTTATATTATCCACGCCTAAAAAGAGAAGTCCATCTTGTTGTAATTTTTTTTTTTTTGTGGGTCAACAGAAGTCCATCTTGTTGTAGTATAAGGTCTTAATTCTAACAGAAACACAACAAGAAAGATTTTTCTTTTGTGGAAGCTTCGATCGCTAGTCATTGAACATCTTCCAAATGCACCAACGGATCTTTATTGGCTCCTACGATTTATAATAATAAAAAACCTAACTCTAAAACAGGAGATAAAAGAGAAGTAGATACATCAGTATAAATCTAACTAATATAACATTACGAATAAAAACATTTAAGACAGAAACAGAAGTTGACATGTTTGAATTAGAACCCGATGTCCCAAACATTTTCCATCTACATACACATACAAGATCTTCCTCCTCACTTTTTTTTTTTTCTTTTTTCTCTTTATCCGAAATTAATCACATTAGAGAAAATATAACAAGTAAATAAACCCATAAAAATCAAATAATATATATTTCTCTTCCCGTAACCCCCAATTCTCCTCAATAAATTATTGTTTAACGAGGGTAGAAAGCGCCAAACAATTATCAGCCATTTGGTACAAAACGCCTGCGGATTTATAAACGACGTTGTTAATCTCCAAAGTTCCCTTCATTGTCTCGCTGCAAGTGTCGTAGTCCGTTAACGCAGCGCTAAGGTTAATGTTAAGGCTAAAACCATCATTTTCCTTAATGTTGTTTAGAGCCTTTTCCAAATTGTCAAACGCGCTGTTGAAGTTGGACAAACATGTCGCGACTTTTCCGTCGCGTTTCACCTCTTTCTTGGCGATATCTCTGGCATGCCTCGTCCTCTTCATTAGCTCTCTTATGGCCACATCCGTCGCTGCGTTCACATTTGTTTGACCCTTTATGGTGCCTCTGCATAATCCCGGAAAATCCGCCACCGTGCAAGGGTCGCCGAGGGAAAGCTTCAACGCTGCCGCGCTTTGGCTTGAGGCGGCAAGGAGTAAGAGGAGGAAGATCGTGCCGAGGAAATTCATATGGGGATTGATTGACATTGTGTGAATAAGAATATATACACGGAAACGTATATATATATTGTGTGTGTTTATATATATACGTTCTTGTGTTTGTGATTGAACACCGGGTGGTGGATCAGTTTTGATGAAGAGGAGGGAGGTGAGTTTATTATATATGCGTATGCAAAAAAAAAAAATGGTTAAATTTAGTAAATTCTTGAAGATATGTTTTGAATAATTTACCACCAGTGAATTAGACCGGAACATAACTAATTTGGTATGATTGTTAGTTAGGTGTGACATGGTAATTGTTTTGTTGTTCTATTTTGAGGAAAATCAAGATTTGTTTTCTAACAGTTATAGAAATTTTCTGTGAAACTGAGTTGAATTTCAGTTACATATGCAGTATTATATCAGCATATTACCATATGAAGATATGTGCAGTGGTGTGGCATAATATAATATTGGCTCTCTAAGTCTTAATACACCGAAAGAAGGATAGATAAGAGCTCCTCTACATTTATGCATCATCCTAAAACAGAGTTTTTTTTAAGAATCAAGACAAAGAATGTGAATCTATCTGGCGTAGAACTGCCATCAAACGGTATTCGTTTACCTCACAGCGACCAAATTCCCCATGAAACCACCGCTAATCTCATAATGCCGGGCACTTGAGAACCCAGCTTCTAGAGCAAGAGTCTCTAGCTCTTCCCCTGCAAAAGAAAGACCAGTTCCACAATTTCAGTATCAGCTAATCAAAACCCACTATAGTATAAGCCCTTCACGAAAATAGATAAAGGGCAAAGATCTTTCAAGTTTGATTCTTTAATGCAGTAAAAAAGCTTTGGCATCTGAGAGGAAAAACGAACCTGTTAGGTAACCATTGATTGAATACTTGAGATATTCATACTCCTTTGCAAGACCATAAACAGTAGCCACCGGGACAACTACATTATCAATCATCCAATCCTTGCAAAACCAAACCGCCAACCAAATTATTTTCCTCAAATCATAATTTCCAAATTAAACGAAATCACACCTCACAGCCATAGTAGAAGAAAAATGAGCACCTGCATAAACGCAGTAACGGATTGGTTGCTCTTATTGAAATCGAGTATAGATACTCTTGAACCTAAAACCAAGAAAAGACAATTAGGTATAAAGCACAAAGCTTTTGGTAATACAATGCAATGTACATAAAAGAAAAGCTATACCTGGTTTCAGAACCCGATACATCTCCCTCATGGCTCTATGTCTATCAACAACGTTACGAAGACCATAACCCATCGTAATAGCATCGAATTTACAGTCATCAAATGGCAAATCAGTAGCATCACCTTCAATCCACCTACAAAAAAAGAAGATAACACACATTGATACATATTAATGTGAGCCTTTTTTCCCCACGAGATGTTAGAACATAACAACAAGCTGAATTGTACCAGTGCTCACTCTATACACTTGTAACAAGACCGAGCTCGAAGATTCTGTCTAGATGATGCAACAGCTAGTTGTTCACAGGAGAAATCCAGACCCATCACCTATAAACAAGAATTTTTCAAGATAAGCCAAAGCTGCCACATTTCAAGAAGACAAACCAGATTAGCCATTGGAAACGTGAAAGGAGAAGAAAATCAATAAACCTTGCCAATTGAACCAACTCTCTCAGACAAAAGAAAGGCTAAATCTCCACTACCACAACACAAATCCAGCACGTAATCTCCTGTTTTAGCTCTAATTTCAATTAAAAAAAAAACCCCCAAAAATCAGGAAAGAGAGAGAGAGAGATTGATTAAACACACGAAGAGACTGAAATGACTATAGCACTCACCCACTCCAGGAAACAGCCATGTTTTTCCAAATCCGGTGCTGGCCTAAGCTTAAGAGATCATTCAACTGCAAAACCATACAAGGAAGACGATGATTTTCTGTAGGGGAAAAAAGGTAAAAGAAAGAACCAATGAACATGTAGGAATTTTGATCAAACGTTATCGTAAACAGGAGCAATGCGGTTGAAGAGAGTCTGGCGGTCGTTCGAGTTCGAGCTCCGAACCACCGTTCTCGGTCGACATCGGGAATTCACCGGGAGTTGGCCGGTGCCGGTGATGGCCACCGGGAAGACGATACCAAGTAGAGCCGCCATTTTTCGACCGCTGATTAACGATCATGTTTGCTTTGTTCCGATTGCTCTAACAACTGGTTTAAAAATGGGCCAATTTCGGCCCAATAAACATAAATTAAGACCCATTCCGAAAATTTTGACAAAGCTGGATGACGTAGTAGACGCTTGATCATGCAAGAAGTTTTCAATCACTGATTGAATGGTAACACAGATCATTAAAAAATGTTAGCAGAAAGGAAATATGAAAAAGTGGCAAGGATACTGAAGAAATAAAAAAACACGAGTAAGAGATAATAGTAGACTAGTAGTACACACAAAAAAAAGAAAGGATTATTATTATTTCATACTGTTAATTGTCATCATTTTTGTGTTAGTAGCTATAATAACAATATAATTCTTATTGCAGCAAATCCTGAAACTTTAAAAAGTCACGAGAGGATAGTCAGAAGAAAGCAAGGAAGTTAATTATTTATAAACATAATTTTTATTCACGGATAATAATAGTTACAAGGCATTTCACTTTTCTCCCTTGTTCCTTCTTTCCTACATGTGAGTGAAAAATATTCCATTCATAAATCCAAAGCTTCACTCTTTTCCATTTTCTTTTCCTCTTTTGTCGGCAAAGCGAAGCAGAGTAAAAATTTGTACGTAGGAAACATGTCAATACACCCATCTTTTGTTTGCAACGTTAAATACCATAATGCTCATTCCTCGGTAAAGAATGATCCACTAGAATCGTCCATCATCGCAAAAGGCATATTCTCTGAAGGCTTCCAGTGGCGTTTTCTTTGGTTTATAAACCAATTGTTGATCTGTTTCTGGTCTAACCCCGTTGCATCAGCTAAAGCTATCTTATCACCTTCCTGAAAAAAATTCATAAGATAACATCTCCCATTTAAATATTGACACATAAAACTGTTAAGGGATAGCTCGTCGAATATATTGGGCTTACAGTAGGGTAAGGCCATTTATAATGGACATTCCACCAATCGAGAAGGGCTTGTCTTGCTTCTCTTGGTAGCTTTCCTTTCTTCTTCTTCTTTGAGAATTCCAGCTTCAAAGAACCTATACGGCTTCCGAACTTGCGCATTAGCCTGTCCTTGAGATCACGGTCTTCGCATCTTTGTTTCCCATCCTGTGATATCTCATCGCCTCCACTCAGTTCCTCGTCCGATGAAATCGCACCATCCTCTGTAACACAAAAAAAAATGGACTGACAATCAGTAACATTTAGGGCGTATGGATACATCACATGCCCGTAGAGAACTAGTTAGAGAGCTAGTTATAGCGATCGAGTTAGTAGACAACTAGAGGAAAATCACTACCAAGTAAACAGTAAATTATTTAGAGCTGGCTTCTCGGCTTAAACGGCTAAGTGGCTAAAGAAGAAGGGGAAAGAGAGAGAGAGGGCAAAAAAGGAAAAGAAGAAAGATGGCGGGGAGGAGAGGGGGAGAGAATTTCGAGAACGCACACGATTGTTGAGTGCAGCAGTCAAAAAAACCGCCGCAGTGAATAGTTACATCCATTGTCATGTGTCAGTAAAGGACTAATAGTCTTGTCTCCATGAGGAGACATCCCCCCTTGGCCTACTTTATTATCCAATCAAACTATGACACGTAGCCTTACCTCATACATGTTATATACATGTTATGTGAACCCCCGGAAATACCGCCTCACCTTACATTTATGTTCTCTCCACAAAACACCCCAAAAAATCCCAATTTTCCATCTCACTCTCTCTTTCTCTCTCTTCTTGATAAACTGCACATTTATGTATATGCCCCAACGACTCAAGTGACCCACTCAACCCAGAGGCCAGAGCTTCCTGACATCAAACTCAACCCCCAAAAGATGATTCCAGAAACATTACCTGATTTCATAATAGTTTTGACTGTTTGACAGAAGATACACTCGGAGCTACCAACCATGGTTACTCCCGAATTAAAAGATCAAGTCAGTCATGCATAACAATATAATGGACTTCCTAATCCGTGAATGCAATGTTAGCGAAAGTACATATATATTTACAAGAAACAAGAAAAAATACACATTATCTAGTCCACGGATCTTTCCCATTGAAGGCGAGGCAGACAGTGGGTTATGCCACATCAAACAAGTAGTTTCACTCCAAATTATATAATTTGAATTGTACCAAACTCTACAAGTCAACTAAGGCAATTACCAAAAGTGTTTCAGACAAGTAAAAAAAAAAATTCTACATCAGCTGTCAATTTCAGGAACAAATACAGATGGTTAAAATGCCTTAATTAAAATCTACACAATATTAGAGTTCTAAAACGCATAGAATATTACCTGGTTGCGTCAATATCAGAGAAATACCATTAAAACACATGAGTCGATAGGCTAATAGTTAAATGACAACCAAAAAAAAAAAGTTTATATGAGTTCGGATTATTTACATGTACAGCAATGGGTTGACTGTGTGATAACATATGGTTGACCGAAGAAGCTAACATGCAAATAAGCAGACACGTGCAAGAAGCATGCCAGAGAGACATAATACGACCCACCAAGGGAACAACGCAACAAGAGGAAATGACAACCACTTAGTGCAAAAGAGTTGAGAAAGATAGAGAAGCATAGTCAGTCTTATAGATGATGATTTGATTGTGGTATAGAGAACCCTATGTTTTTTTACTTTGATTTTTTTTTTTTTTGGTTATACCAAATCAAAAAACAAAAACTTAGGAGAGAAAGGTAAGTGGGGTCAATGGTGGGAGGTCACTAGCGGAATCCACGGGAGTCCATGTGACTTTCAACCTTTACTTTAAACAAAAAACCAAAAGAACTCTCTCACTCAAGTTTATCATGCATTATGCTCAGTATTACTTATAATCGCGGGAAGATGGTTACGATCGAAGAAGAAAAATATTGACAAAAAAGTCAGTAAGAAACCATCCTCTCTCAGCATTTAAGTGATCACTATATTGACTAAACACTAGAAGAAAAGAAAGCACGAAAGAACCAGAACATGTAGCTTAATAATAGTTCTTTAACCAAAATGTAGCTTAATAGTTTGTATTAGTGATGTTGTGTCACCACCAGAATCTTAATCCTCATAGTTAAAAAAAATGAACTTAGAAGTCTCTATGATCAACTTAGGGGAAGTTAGGATTGGTTGTATTAATAAAGCAAATTAACATGGAAGAAACTAAAGCATGTGATGATCTGAGAAATCAGTATATCACACTCATGCGAATCTACTCCAACAATGTATTTTTTATTATTAGTTTATGATTCATTCAGGTGAGAAAAGCTCAGTTCTTGAAAAAGACGGGTAAAACCAATTTTTTTTCAACCAGATGAAATCATCTAAAAGGCAAGTTGTACTTTGAACATATAAAAACAATTAATCGTTAAACATTCGCCACCCATGAAAACCTTGAGTGATCTATTTTAAAACCTTTTCCAGGTGATTATCTACGCAAACTCGGATTAATTTAACAAAAATAAGCAGCTTTTTTAAATATCAGCAGCTTTTTTCCACAATAAACAATATTACCAAAGTACAAGTGGAAGCCGCATTTGAGATCTAACGCGATTAGGAAAACCCTGCAAAGCTGAAAAAAAGTCCACACTGTTTTATGGAGTTCCATTTCTTTACAGCTAGATCTTTCAGGTGGAGTTTTCGAGCTAATTTAATATTTAGATTTTTAAGACACTATCAGTATTTCCACTAACGTGATCAGTTGATTTGTTATGGCCACAATTTTTTTTTTTTTAATCCTATACTTAGAACCATCGACATATTAGCAAACACACAAAGAAATGCATTTCATTCGTATATAAACATAACCCTAAAAGCCAATAGAACTGAGCACCTTTATTACTCACAGTCACATGTAATGTAAGTCCAACAAAACGCCAAACACTTTAACAATTAACACACGCCATGCAGATGAGACCAGACACTTGGCAATGATACTACTTCCGATGATCAACAAACATCTCCATGGGTGTTTGTTCTCAGATTATTGGAACTTGAACTAGCCCAGAGTCAAGTTTCTTGAGAGTTCATTAATTGTAAGCGTAGATATAATAAGAGTTTGTGTTGTAAAAATGTTTTTCCTTCTGACGATAATTGATATGCTGAAATTTACTTGGCCAATCCAAAGTATCTGTGAATGAGCCTACATGTATTTTTATTACAATAACTTTTGGCTTATTTGTTATGAAGATTGAAAATTATCTGGAGTGAAAAGCTGGTAATCCCAAAAGGTTTTTTTTTTAACAATACGTTATAACAAAGGGTAAAAAAGATACAGTAAACACAGTTTTAATCATGATCTAAAGTCTAAACGAGAGTTCAAGCAAAATAAGCTCATGAAAATCAAGAAACTTATTGGTGAAAGGTTATGACTAGGTTTTTCTGTCGATGGGTATACACTGGAAAAAGCATGCAAGTTGGAAAAAAAATGTACATATATTCAGTACGCAACAAGACTCTGAAACGTCAAAATCAGAATCTCTACCGCAAAAGTTTATTGCTTTGGAGATCATTTTTCTTTCTGACAGGGAAAGAAGAGAAAAAGAAGAAATAAAAAGTATAAAGTAAAAAAAATGTATGATTTCCACAAAGATGAACAAGAAAGAAAAAAAAATATATATATATAGCGAGGAGAAGAGGAAAACTCCCACTCCATGGCTAAACATGAAAATTTAAGAGTAAAATAATGGCACAAAACTGTTCCAATGTAATAGACCTTAAAGCATGACCTATTAACTATGAAGCAATACCAACAAGAGTTTTCTAAACACAACAAAAACCCATGAACAAAAGTGACTATGGAGATGAAAGATGTGATTCAGTCAAGAGTTTTCTCCACCAAACACCTAGGGTTTTTCTACTTTTTTTCTCTTTTTTTTTTTCACTTAAGAGACCTAGGGCTCTTGTAATCATAAAGCTCACAACCATTTTTCAGAAACTTGGTCATATGAATCAAACCTCTATTGAAAAGTTTCTAGTAAACGAATTTGATATCCTCACTTTGGTTAGGGTGGTAAAAATTAGTCTAACAAGTAAAACAAAGACGCAGAGATGGAGGAAAGCAAATCACACAAAGACCACTCAGAGAAAAAAACACCAAATCGAAACACTGAACGAGAGAAGGATCATTTAAGACTTACCCGAAAGTCCCCTGGCAGACTCCACACCAGTACATAGGTTCCGTAGCTGCATCTCGATTTTGTTCAAGAAACTCGTCGCTTCGTCAAACGGCCTTGCTAGATCCGATTTGTATTTCACCAATATATCGCAGTAGGTCTCCTGCAATCTCACAACCAGAGAGTTAATTTTAAGTAAAAAAAAAAATACAAAAAACAAAAAAAAAAATCCGTAAATCGAGAAAGAGACCATGAATTCATCGAGCTCAGGATCAGGTCCGAAGCAAGACGACGGAACAACGTCTCGCTTATAAACTTCACTGTCCCTTTGAATCTCCTCCAATAGACACGCTATCTCCGGCGGCGCTCCGACCTGTTTACCAAAATCTCACTCCGTTATTTTGAATTGTTAACTCGAAGAAAAAACAAAATATATATATATGAAAATTATAATCAACTATGGTTCGTTTCTCCATTGTCGTTATCCATAAAATTATAAAACAAAATCAAAACGATAAAACAGTTTTCGAGCTTCCCAAATCTTATCCTAGAGAAGGAAGAAGATGATCAAAGTCGTCTATATACACACGAAAAGTCGTTTATGCCATAGAAACAGCACAAAAGTCGCTTGTGCATAATCTCAAACACCTCGTGAGCACACACAATAACAACAACAAAAGAAAGAGGCAAGAGAATACAGAACGCGAATCGCCATGAACAGTGAATCATCAATATCCCAGCAATCACCTTCTGGCAATCGATATAAGCTTGGAGCAAGCGAGGGTACGAAGGATGACAAGCGATTTTCGCCTTGATGACGCCGAGAGAGACGTTATCATCGTTTCGTCGGATCTCCGGAGCGATCGACGCAGCCTCTGACGACAAAGCGGAGGCGGCGGCTGAGAGCAGCTCGTCGGATCCGAAAACATCGGAAACGCGATTATCTCCGGCGGAGGAGCATAGAAAGGCTTGGTAATCGGAAGGAAACATCAGATTATCCGGCGACATCATCAGCACCGCCTTATCCGAGTAATCACCGGCCGAATGGAAACCGTACATTCCATCCATCGCCGGTGAGACCTGCTATCGATCGTATCTGTGTAGGAAAAAGCGAGAATCGATGAAGAAGAATATGAAAACTGTCTTGCTTAGCTTAACAAACTTTTCCAATACATGTATTTCTATGGGGGAGTGTTTTTGTGTAGGTGAAGAGAGAGACGCTCAAGGAGTGGAAGCAGGGATCATATTTTCTTTTGGCAAAAAAAAAAAAAAAAAAAAAAGAAAAAAAGAGGAGGAAAAGTTAATGAGGAAAACAAAACGAAAAGTGTAATTACGAAAAGGGACAAAGAAGCTATTAAGGCTCAAGCTTGAGGCTTCATTGTTCGATATAAAGGCCTTCCCAACTTGTCTGTTAATTTTTATTTATACCAAAGGTCCAAGGCTGTTATGCCGGGATTTGCATATTATGAGAGCAAAATAGATAAATTATTGAGAGAAATTTGTAAGTTTGAGAAACTTAGGTTGCAAATGGTACTAATGAATGAGAGGAAACTGATGAGTAAAATAATGTAAATTACATTCTTCTATTTTGAAAAGGACCAAATTTCATCGTAACATGATTAATTACGTTATCATTTAGTCTTTAAGTAAGTTAACCAGAAAACGTTCAGTTAAATCTCCACATACCAAAGAGAGAGCAATGTTCTCTCTAGAAAAATCCCGATAACGAATGTTTTTTTCAAACTCTCTTGCCGTAACGGCAAGTTCTATTCAAACATTCCGCCGTAACGTGCGTCAATTTCCTCATTTCTCAGATTTTCTGAGCCCCTTTCATCGCCATTTCCCAGATCCTACGGTTCCCCCAAAGATTCCAAAAAGAATTTCTAGCCACATCAAGGAAGAAGATGCCCAGCCCAGTCTTTCTCTCCGAAATCTTTACAAAATTAATGCTATTTATGAAGAGGTGGAACATATTTCTCTGAAGATCCGGAGCCACCATGCCCTCAAATCTGTGGAAAGATGGGAAAAGGAAACCCCTTTTAATTACAGAGCTGCAATTTGGGAACAGATGGGTACCCTCTCGCAATTAGATCTGGGAGTATATTCCCAAATGTTTCAAACAGCGAGAAACAGATTACGTCAACAATCTCAAACATTATTTCAGAGCGCGATCATCTCCCTCATTCACATCCCAGATGCTGTGAATCGGGAGCAAGTTACGCCAAGATCGATGAAAGGTAAAGAGTGTCAAAATCTCTCACTATATATTGGCCAGGATCCCTCTTCTCATTCCATCGCTCTCACCAAACTTCACCGTTGAGACTCTCTTACAGCAAAATTTTGCTCTTCCTCAACCATACCTTTGTTTCCTTCATCCCCCATCCCACCATGGCGAAACAATCTGATCTTATCTCAGCCAGAGGAAAATCTTCTCTGAAACTCGACCCAATCGTGATCCCACCTTTTGACAATTCCGACCTGGTGGCATCGTATGACCTCACTCTGATGGGTCGTGTCCTGAATCCAGAGATGCAAGCTCACCGTGTGAGGGCTCTGATTGCTCTGATGCCTCAAGCATGGAATCTGGAAGGTCGTGTGCAAGGAATGGACTTGGGAAGAGGAAAATTTCAGTTCCGCTTCCAATCAGAGGAAGAACTCAATTCAGTCTTGGAGAAAAGACCTTTTTTCTTCGACCAATGGATGTTTCCTTTGGAGCGCTGGGTCCCTAGCGTGAGGGTGGATTTTCCGTCGACGATGCTTTTCTGGATTCATATCGACGGCATCCCTCCCCATTACCTGAAGGAGCAAACTGTTAAAAGTATCGGAGAAAAACTTGGAGATCTGATCCAGTGGGAAGTAAATCCGGCAAAGGTCCGTGTCTTGGTGGAATGTGAAAACCCCCTACAATTTGAAAGACTAGTGCAATTCTCATCAACTGGAGACGAGGTGGTGGTCACCTTCAGATATGAGAAACTCGAAAAATTCTGCTTCATATGTCAGAGAATCTCTCACGACGGACGTCACTGCCCGGACCTGGAAAGAGAACAGCGAGCTTTCAAGTCAAAGCAAGGTAACAAAAGGGATTGGAACCAGAAACAACAAGCAATCTTGAAAGGAGAGGAAGGGCCATACAGAAGATATGGGAAATCTGAGAGGATCCAAGACAAACAAAAGCCTTCTGTCCGCCGAGAGCTCTTCTCTCAAAAGGAAACCCAACCAGAAAGAAATCAAGGAAGATTGCAAGGAAAACAGAGTCGGGAATCCACCAAAAGCTGGGTTGAACGTTCTTTTGGAGAAAAATCAACAAAGTCTGAAAAATCTCAGGATCACAAATCCTCCGCTCGTGGTGCATCAGAGATTGTTATTGCAGATGTTGACAAGAGAGATACAGTGCGTGCTTCACCCAAAGGATCAGGGAGTAGAAACACCCTTTTAGAAGAGAAAAAAAAGCTCTTCAAACCAGCATCATGGTATCGTGACCCAAGTTCTGGAAAGGGTAAATCTGCTTCGGATCCAGGAAAATCTCGGAAAGAGAGATCCCCATCACTGAGTGCAAACAAGCGCTCACAAGTGGAAGAGGGGAAAATTCACGTGTCTAAACCTCCCGTAAGTACGGGCAGCCAAGTTATGGATACAAACTCCTCCTGTGACCTAGAAGAGGTCATCTCCCCCATGAAAGAGATGATGACATCAAATTCTCAATCTATGTCAGAATCTCTGGATGACCGTGGTGGAAGAAGAGGCAAACCCATTAGAAGCCGTCTTGGACCACGTTCAAATGTGAGTCTACAAGTAAAAAAGAAAATCATAAGGAGCCCTACGAAGGGGTTGATGACCAAGAAATGAGGTGCACCTTTTTTTGGAGAGCCTTCAAAAAAAAGAGTGAATGCAGATTTGATCATCCCTCACTGCAATGGAAATCCGTCATCCTCGAAGCCGGAACCCTTAGAAGGGAAAAATTTGGAGGAACCCAAAGAGCTGGTGGTGAAAGAGAAACCACCGGCTAAACCGTAATGATCCTAAGTTGGAATTGCCAAGGAGCTGGTAGCTACTTGGCAATTCGCCACCTGAGAGAAATCCGTCAAAAGTTTTTTCCAGGTATTATGTTTCTTATGGAGACCAAGAATGAACGAGCCTTCCTCCAAGATCTTCAGTATCATCTTGGTTATGATTTTCTTTTCACAGTTGACCCTATCGGCCGTAGTGGTGGTCTTGCTTTGTTTGCATTGTCTGAGTTTAATGTTCAAGTTCTTTTTTCCAATAATAGAGTCATCGATGTATCAGCTATGATTGGTGACAATAAAGTTTTTCTCTCTTTTGTTTATGGTGACCTTGTCGTTAATCGCAGAAACTTAGTTTGGGAACGTTTAACACGCATTAGTACTTCTCGATCTGATGCATGGTTTATGATTGGCGATTTTAACGAAATTAATGGCAACCATGAAAAATCGGGTGGTCGTATCCGTAGTGAAAATTCTTTTCTCGATTTTCGTCTCATGCAACAAAATTGTGGTATGATCGATCTCCCCTTCTCGGGAAATTGTTTATCATGGGTGGGACGCAGAAAAAAACATCTCACACGTTGCCGACTAGATCGAGAAATGGGCAATGAGGATTGGTTCAATTTATTCTCGAACTCTTCTATAAAGTACCTGAAACTCATGGGGTCGGATCACCGTCCGGTCCTCACATACATATCCTCTCGTAGAAACAAAGGAAAAAAGAATTTTCGCTTTGACAAACGATGGATCTCTAAACCAGGTTTTGAAGATATAATTCGAGAAGGTTGGCTGTCAAATGATGAGGAAAGAAATGTGTCCCTCCATGAACGCATAAGTAATTGTCGGTCTACTATATCTAGATGGCGTAAAGAAGACCAACAAAACTCCTCAAAAAAATTGGAAGCTCTTCAAGCTAAACTTGATAAAGGTCTATCTGACGAGAACCTATCTACGGAGGAGGTTTCATTAATCCAAAAAAATCTCATAAAAGCTTATGAGGAAGAAGAGATGTTTTGGCAACAAAAAAGCCGAAACCTCTGGTACAAAGAAGGAGATAGGAATACAAAATTCTACCACGCCTCTACTAAGCAAAGAAGAGCAAGAAATCGCATTATTGGACTTAATGACCCTGGAGGAGTTTGGACACAGAATGAGCAAAAGGTTAAAGCAATTGCGATAGACTACTTCCACAATATGTTTAATCATCGACGACTTCAGATATCGAAGTCTCTCTCAATAACCTGCCAAATGGCATCTCCCCTGAGATGAATGAGAGATTGTGCAAATAATTCACCCCTCTTGAGATTAAAAAGGCTTTATTTTCAATTCATCCGAGGAAAGCTCCAGGCCCTGATGGTATGACAGCTCTGTTTTACCAAAAATATTGGTCAACAATCGGTTCTCATGTAATCAAGATGGTTCAAGAGTTCTTTACTTCAAGAATTTTTGATCCAAAATTAAATGAAACCAATATCTGTTTGGTACCAAAAACAGATCGCCCAAGGGATATGGCCAATTTTCGCCCAATTAGCCTATGTAACGTCAGTTACAAAATTATCTCCAAAGTATTATGTCAAAGGCTAAAAACAATTCTCCCGGAAATTGTATCCGAAACACAATCTGCTTTCGTGGCAGGGAGGTTAATCTCAGATAATATTCTGTTAGCTCAAGAAGCTTTCCATGCTTTAAATACTCATCCAAGAAGTAAGTCAGATTTTTTAGCCATCAAGACGGATATGAGTAAAGCATATGACCGAGTCGAGTGGAACTTCTTGGAAGCTCTGATGACTAAAATGGGATTCCATAATACTTGGGTATCATGGATCATAAGATGTGTGCAATCTGTTTCCTATAGTATCCTCGTAAATGGATCCCCGACAGGGAAAATAATTCCATCTAGAGGATTACGACAAGGAGATCCTTTATCGCCATATCTCTTTATTCTATGTACAGAAGTCCTGATTTCTAATATCAAGGTGGCAGAATCAGCTGGCCTTATATCTGGTTTGAAAGTTGCTCAAACAAGCCCAGCGATTTCTCATTTGTTATTTGCAGATGACAGTCTTTTCTTCTGTAAAGCAGATCCCACCGAATGCAACTCATTCCTAGACATCCTCAGAATCTACGGAAATGCATCAGGGCAAAGAATAAACTTTGAGAAGTCTGCCATCACGTTTGGGAAAAAAGTCTTGCCAGAAAGTAGA